TGTCCGAGCAGGAGGCTGGTTCGAGAAAATCGCCAAGTTACCTACACCTAATTGCAGAAACGTTGTCATAGAAAATAGAACATTTGAATTTAGTATAAAAGGAATAAAGAAGACAAAAGAAAGCGTTCAGCCACAGTGATCTTCTTTTTAACTTATTGCTTTTTACGAAATACAAATGTCCTATCATTTATGACAACGTTTTCGCAAGTAGGTGTTTATCAATTTGAAGAGCACATCAAGAAAACTCTTGATAGCCTGAGTATCAGTCTCTCTCGAAGGGGATTGGAGCGGAAAGAAACCAAACCCCAATCCCCTTGTAGAGAGCCTGATACTCAGGCTATTGATACTATCCCCAAGTTTGGTTTGGTCCAGATGGATGTCTAAGAAGTTGAAGCTGTCCAAAATTGTTAAAATTTACAAGGGAATGTACAGATTGTGGGGAAAATATCCTGCAATCGAAAGAGAGTTTTTCACAATGGTTATAATTTTTGAATACCCACAATACCTTGCGGACCTTTTAGGCAAGCACATTGACTATCACCGAGAATATGTACATTTACAAGAGATATTTCTAGAGTTTATTTCCTAGGATTGTTCTGGTGACTAGCCGGCTATGTACCGCTTGCATTCTCTAACAGGGCACGCACAGTTTCCTTTTATTTGAAATATCTCGGTCGGCGGACAAGGCCGAATTAGATGGCCTATATACAATCATCGCATGCAAAACAGCCCAAGTCGTCTTGACAATATGGCTACAGCTGAGAGAGTGAGATTTCAAAATAATTGTTTAATAAGCCCTGCTACAGTCGTTGAAGCCATGTTGCCTATATAAGGATAGCTTATGCATGTTGCACGCGATTGTAATGTGCAGGCTGTGTGCCGTTCAAGTCGGTCCTAACCATGTTAAGGAAGACTTATCTTGAGCGTCTTTAGCAACTTTTAGATGCGGCTCCCTAAACAATTAACGATCCAAATCATTGCGGTTCAAAATTAACGCTCGAAAATTTCACTAGAGATTTTACAGCTAGGAGCATAGTAAAATTACCACACACTATGTAAACGGATACCTATGCTGTCAATATTGCGGGGTGTGCGAGATCGTACGATCAGATTGTACTTTATTCTCGTTAAGCCTTCCTCGTGATGTTGTTGCTCGGCATGAAATTGTGAACAAGTGTATTTTATTTCTATTGAAATGCCGTTATCTTTAATTTTGATGTCTTTTTAGAGATGCTTGCTAGTTTGCCTTCGTTCTCTCGTTTTGCGATCCATTGTCAAAATCCACACGTGCACTTCAAAAAAAACAAAAAACAATACTTCCCTAAAATATACACACACATAAAAAAAGAAAGAAAAAAGAGCTACTTAGTAAAAGAAAAAGTGAACTGCCTGAGTAAATGCAGCAATTGATAGTCACCATGGGGTGAGCGTCGGGGAAGATCGAGGAGATCCTTTGAAGTGGCGTGCGAAACAGTTTACCGTCTGAAAACTAGGATAAACGCGACAAGAAACTACAGGATTTTGCAGCTTAAATTTTTAAGTTTTTTAATGAGTTGATGAACGTTTCTGGATTTGTACATGAATCACGTCAATTTTCCTTATTTGACTATGTTAGTGATTGAATGCTTTCTGTGCTTACCGATTTGAATGCTGAGATCCGTCTTGCTGTTCTACTCAATAGTCATAGGCTACACTGGGTGCGATTTAAAACAGATTTGATATGCCCTGGTCCATATCAGTCGTGTACCGTTGTATACAAACAATAC